GAGAGAGAAAGAGAGAGAGAGAGAGAGAGAGAGAGAGAGAGAGAGAGAGAGAGAGACAGACAGACAGACAGACAGACAGACAGACAGACAGAGAGGAAGACAGGCAGACAGACAGACAAACAGACAGACAGACAGACTTACCTGATAAGTATCTGACATCATGGCAATAAGTAGGTTGATGAGAACGATGAATGTGATCATCATGTAGGTACCAAATACAATCTTCATCAGCACTGAAACAAAGTACAAACAACCGACTTTGCTATTTCTTCCCTTTCATAAACAAACATGAGTTTCGAAAATCAACCTCACAAAATTGAGGTCATTCTAAACCCCATATTGGCTGTTTTAAAAAGTGCTAATGACGCATTACTTGACAGGGTATGTGATAGATTAGGCCTAAGCGTCAAGAAACAGATTTAAGTCTTTACAGGTGTATTTTTTAAATTTACGGTTCTGTTTCAATTTTGTAAGATTTATTCCAATTTTTGAGTGAACATGGGAGAAGAACAAAACAAAAGAACAAAACCAGCTTTCAAAATGACTCTCAATGTCTTAATGTGTCATAAATCGTTGAAAAAACGTTTAATATTAGAATTTTAAAAAAACAAAAACAAACAAAACAATTTATCATAATATTAGGTAGGAGCAAGCGTGTCCAAATCGCGATTCCAAATATGTCATGGGGCCAAAGAAGGAGAACATTGAGTTAAATGAGTTAAAATACGCAAGGTCTCAAAAGGGAGACCAAAATCAAAACTCTGTCATAATGTCATTTCATGAGATTGGAGACATTAGAACTTGATCTAGAGCTTCGAGCTTGACTAAACCATAGATTTCGAATTTTAAGACAGACAGTTGATGTTTTTTTTAACCAAATCGCCGCAGGTCATTAATACGATTAAGTACTGGGTCTATTCTTTATTCAAACTCAAATTGGCCATTATTACATCGATGTGCCTTTTTTTTACCCCCCACTAAATGACCATCATTTTTTGTGTCGGCATGTTTCTCTCTGTACTAACACAGCATAACTGGCATTGTGTCGTTGTGCTTCTCTTTACTATCACCAAACGAACATTATTGCGTCGACATGCTTCTCTTTAGACAAACATGAAATCACCGTTTTATTGTGGAGATGTGCGTCTCTTTACTCACAATAAATGACTGTTTTCGCGTCGATGTGCTCCTCTTATCAACGTTGTTGCGTCGACTTGTTTCTCTTAAGACAAACATGAAATCACTTTTATTGTGCCGATGTGCTTCTCTTTACCCAAACACTAAATAACCATCATTGTGTCCTCGCGCTTCTATTGCCCCGAAGACCCACACAAACACTCACCTATCGTCTTTATCGCCCCTCCTTCTTTTTTGTGTTTGTTACTCTCTTGTAACACCTCTAATCTTCGGCACTTATATGACTTTATTGTATTGCAAGTGCCGTAAAACTCTTACTAACTCTAAACACTCGCCTATCGTCCAGTAAGGGCTGCGGTCCAGGGGCGGGAAACTCTCTGGGTCTGTGAGGCCGAAGAGCGCGAAGAAAAGGAACTCGAACGTGTCGATGGGATTGAGGGAGGGAGACTGGACGAAACCTGTACCA